CAACTCCTTTATTGTTGGGGGCTGCAGTGTGCTTGGCTAAAATCAATAGCTACATTTTCCAGCTGCCTATATAGGGGTGGCCAAAGAGTTGTGGGTTGAAGCTTCCAGGAAAGCTCCTAAAAGATTGTCTTACTCAGTTGGGGGGTAGGATACCTTAGGTCATTATTCTTTTTATTGTCTGGAATGTGGATGTGCTGGGTAGTGCTCCAGCAGCCACTTTGTGATCATGAGGTGACCTTACAGATGTTATATGCTAAGGATGACAGAATAGGAATGTAGAAGGAGCTTGTTGACCTCCCATTCCAGCCCTGTATGATTTCTGAAATTCATATTACATGAGAAAAAAAATTCAACCCTTTCCTGTTTGAGAGACTGTTATTTCTGATCTTTGCTACTAGTTCCTAAATTCAGTTCCTGATAATAAACCAACCTGGTGTATAAGAGTAGTCCAACAAATGTCAGTGACTCTGCATCTCTGCCTCCTCCACCTCCTCACTCTAGCCACAGACACACTGTTCCTCCTCTGATAAGTACTGGACATCTAGCTGGCTGTGAGGCTGTTGAAGCTTGGTAGAATCTCAGAAAGTCACAAAGAAGTGATGCATGGATCACGCCCAGCCCACAGATGAGTTTTATTTGGCCCACACTTATTTTTTAAAATGCTGAGTTTGTTGCCAGCATTTGGAAATCTGGTGATTTTGCATAAATACTGATTTCTTAGAAAATCTGTTGACCCAGGGTCTTTATTTCTGCCTGGCAACAATCAGCTGAAAGTAAGTAGGAGCTGCCCCCTGAAATGAGACAGTTGCTCTGTAGATCATCACATCCTCCCTCACTCATGACACCTGCTTGGCTCTGAAGCCATATGAGTTAGCAACTTTCCATCTCCCTACCCAGACACACACCCCGGAAATGGCCTGCTCGAATGGTATTCCTGAATTTCCTGTGCCTTTCTTCTCAGTCTCCCTTGACTCAACACTTAGCACATTGCGGTTTTTGTTTTTGTTTTTTTTTTCTTCTCTCAGAAAACTAAGCATGCACTTTCGATAAGTAGAGAGAAATCAGCTTTTCAAATGTCAGAAAACAGCTGATGTTGCTTCTCACTTGGAGGCGTGTTGGCTTCCCTTTTCACATATCTTATTGAGGCGAGGCAGTAAGAGGGAGAGCTGCAGGCTCCTCACGGAGCAGCTGTTGGGATGCTTCATTGAGGAGGCACTGAGACATCCAGAGGACAATTAAATTATTGAATATGGATTTCCTTGAACGGCTTTTATTACCATGTCATGAGTAAGAACAACCCTATCTCAGCTTGCTCATACTGTCCTCTGAGATGTAACTTAGATGTTTCCTAAATGGCAGGACTTGGAAGATGCGCATTAGCTCTGCTGTGCTTGTGAGGACTGTTGTGTGACATGCATGCTCTTCAGTTGTCTGAACCCCTGAGAAAACCTCAGCTGTTGCAGGGACCCTAATGGAGCTGTACAGCGCAGAGTCTCTGTTGCAGTCTGATGTAAGTTTTTATACCCTTGGTCATTAACTACTCTTGGAAAGTTAAATGCCTATGCAGCTTTTACAAACCCAGGTCTCTGGGGTTTTGGAGAGTAAAACAAAAACTATTTCAATGATAAATAATTTGTAGCTTCAGTTCCTTATGATACACAATGTGCAGTGTGTTGGGTCAGGAATGACCATCTTTGCATTAACAATTCTAAGTAGAATGAAGCCACGATGAACACAGAGGAAGTTGTCAGTGAGTAGATTGGCCTGGGATGAAGAGAGGAAACAGTTAAGTGGAACTGGTATTCCTAGGTCTGCACCAAATTCTTGGGGTTAATTCCCCTACAAAAATAAGACCTGGCTCATGGGTACTAACGGAATTTCACAGTATGCAGGATGGTGATTGGGCAACGAGCCTCAGGAAATTCTCTGCCTTCTTTGGAGCTGGTTTCTGTGGGACACAGGACTCTGTTGCTGGGGCAGCCAGATGCCTGGGTTCATTTGTACATTTTCATAGACAGCAGTAAATGGGAATGGGGTGGGCTAGGTGTAGGGGAAACAGGAATGGAGTAGGGAGCAGATTGATGCAGCCTTGGTGCAGGTAGACTCTGCTGGCCTATGTAGGCTGGTTCCCCAATTATATTTTAAGAAAATGTGTTTATTACTGTCGGATTGCTTGATTTTCATAGGAAACATACCCAGTGAATACCTTATATAAAAAAAGAACTGAAAAAATGTCCTAAAAAAAGGCTTTGTTCCATATAGACTTCTGAACATGGTCATTATATTCCGGTTCTGTGGGAGAATGAACTCTGGAGGCTAGCCCACTCATCACATTTTCCTTTCTGTGCAGAAGTAGCTTAAGAGCAATGTTACTTGGGGTCCAAGTGTGAATTTTTATTTTTGAGAATTTGGCCATGTGTTCATTGTCTAAGCCTGTTTACTGGCCCATCATATCCAAACATTATATACCCCAATAATATTCCTAACTATTCCAACAGAAAATCTGGTATGTCTTGAGAAAAACCACTGCCATGACTTATTAATGAGTTAACTAGGCATACTCTTCATAGGGTTCATTCACCCAAACTTATCATAGAATATAATGTAAGAAAAATGAGTAATTGAATTAAAGTTCTTTTTTGGAATAGTACTAGCATTCAAGGATCACGATTGCCCATGGATACTGCAGTTACTAATGTGTCAGACTCCCCCTTCAAGAAATCAGCTGCATATCCCTTCATTATATGTGCTGGCTCTCTTCTATTTGCCCCTTAGATCTCTCCTTCCTCTTCCCTGTGTTGTGTAGGCCATATCAATGGGCTCCTTGTGTTCTGGCTTCCAGTGGGTTCAGGTTATGCAGGGTGGAGAGTGAGATTAGGCTATTTTAATCCCTGGCTCCCTCTCTGAGGGCCACTACCACTGGCCATATCCCTCAGCCTGTCTGGTAGCCCCCTCCATACAGTCTTCTCCTTTCCCATTCTCCCTCAGGCCATTACCAGCCCAGGGACACTGTTCCACTCGTCTGTTTCCCTTCATGCTGCCAACACCTATGTAAGTATTCTATTTATTAAACTCTTAAAATATCCCAATTGGAATGTGCCATCTGCTTCATGCTGGGACCATAACTGATAACAAATAAGCATTTGATCCACAGAGAGAAGACTTCTGACCTCTTGGTGGTTACCAAAGATAAAAAGGGGCCACATTAGCCCAGTTGAAGCATTACCATCTAAAATCCCAGCCCAAACCTTTCTTCAGGAAACCTGCCCTTTCTGCCTCTGTGAATGTCATCCCCTCTCAGGTTGGTTTTAGTGCTTTCAAAGCTATGTGTCTGTGCATGTCTGGCTGGTAGCACCCCATATGTTTTGGTGTGTGTTTCAAAGAGTAACAGACTTAGATCCAGGAGTGCAGGGAGATCTGAAAGTCATAGGATATAGAATGTGAAATGTTGATCTTTCCGGTATCTCTAATATGGCCCTATATCATTTGATGTGCAGCTGGCACATGTGTTTTAGAAAAATGGAAGGATTGATGTTGTTATGTAATGTTTTAACCCCTACCAAAATTTATATGTTGAAGCCTAATCCTCCAGTGTGATGGTATTTGGAAGTGGGCCTTTGGGAGATAATTAGGTTACATGGGGTATTGATGGTGGAGCCCTCAGAAGGGGATTAGTGCCCTTACAAGAAGAGACAACAGAGAGCTTGCTGCTCCCCCACTCTGTGCACATGTGTACTTACACGCACACACACACACACGGGTCGTGAGACCGCACAGGAAGATGATAGATGCCTACAAACCAAGAGAAGGGCCCTCAGAGAGAAACTTCTCTGCCAGCATCTTGATCTTGGACTTTCCAGCCGCCAGAACTCTGAGAAATACATCTGTTGTTTAAGCCACACAGTCTGATATTTCATTTAGCAGCCCAACCTGAGACAAAAGCGTAGATGTTTTCCCAAACATGCTATCTGTATTGTCCCACACAAATGATCTATTTGGGTGGTCCTTGCCCTTTTAGAAATTTGTTTTGGCAATTTCTCCTTGTAGCCTACTGTAATATTTAAAGACATTGGGTATTTTCTGGCTGAAATTTAAGCTTTAAAGGCCAATGTATCTTACTCAGACTGGTTGAACTTAGAAATGAGTAAATTTTCTCAATTTTGCCAATTAAAAAAGCCCTTTAGCTATAGCTGTTGGAAGAGGCTGGGCCTTTGCTTTTTTTCCTAAATGGAAGTGGGAAGGTGCTCACAGAACGATGCCAAGCACCGGTGGCTGTACAATTTCCGTTTTATTTTGTGTGCTTTTTTTTAATAGGATATAAATAATGACAAAAATTACAAAATTTATAACTGGAAGCCCAAGCATATTTACACATATGTTTCTGTCTTAGCAAAGCTACTGTTTACTTTGCTTCTATACAATTACCTTTTGGTACCATATTTCAGTGTTATTTTACTCTCCATTTACTACATACATATCAACAGTGAATAGGCAAAATATATACAAGGAACTGTTCAGGTCAAGTAATTTAATATTGTATTAAAATTCTTCAACACTGAACTAAATCCATATACATTTGTCAGTTTGAAATAAAATTTAATTATCTTTCTTTAAAACTCACCAACTGATGAATAACTGATAATCTTCAGGTTTGAAATAATACTGGTTAATAAAAAAAAACATTAAGACAATCCCACAATTTATCAATATCGCTATAATGAACTGCAAAATGATTCACAATATGATCAGTTAGAACAATATACGTTAAAATGTTATTTTTTTCTATAATGATATTGGTACTGTTTATATAATTTGATTCTACATAAATATACATTATGGTATCATACAAATACTCCACAGAGACATTAAAAAAATTAAAATACCTTAAAGAAATGTAAGTAAATTTTATTTAATCAAATAGTAAGCAAACATTTATTTGTTTCAAGAAAAGAGTTTTATTACTTTGGAATCTCTCCTTTTTTTTTTTGTATTTTTTTTTCCTAGAAAAAAATTTTTGCAATAGAATTTTGTTAACACCTTTCTCAAACAAGGTTTCCATGACAGAAATCTTGACAGCAGGAGCCCTAGATTTTTTTTTTTTTAACGTTTTCTTTAAAACACTGTGAAGGTTAAAAAAAACAATCTTTGCAGCTTATGGCTGCATCAGCACTTTCGGTTGGATGCCAGTCTGTTTGCCCTAATCTCCTGCTCTGGGGAGTGTCATCAGCACTTTGCCACGCCCAAGCCAGTCCTCTTGGTGGTAGCAGTAAAAATTTAGTTATTTAGAAATGAAATCAGAAACATCCCTCACAACTAACCTAGTTTTCTTATCAGTGCATTAATGAAACATTCTTTTAATAAAAATATTTAATACAAGACACATTTTTCTGTGCATAATAAATTCCTCTGTTTTGAATCATTCTTAAATTTTGAATCAATCCATAGATGTAAATGTTTTCTTTATCTGACATGGTTGATTACATATAAAATCCACAAATATAGAAATTGGGAAACAGGATTTCCTGGCAATCATGGGGGTGGTTTTTGTCCTTATGCATGAAATGATGCTCAGTGATATGATTTTACAGGTGTTTTATGGGGGTAGTTCTGTTCTGATTCTACCTTTGAAACTGCTGACTGAAAAATCCAAGATTTTTATACTTTTAGGCAGTATTAGAGATCCCCTGTACCTTTTTTTTTTTTTTTTTTTTAAAGGTATTATCCCCAAATTCAGCAAAGCAGTGTTGGGGGCAGAGTCATTAGAAATACCTTGGGTGGTGGCAGGAAGGGGAGTCGGGAGAGTCAGCCAAAAATCTCAACTCATGCCTCTCAGGGGTTACGGCTGGAAAGTCTTGGTTGCACACTTTCTGTCACTGGTGCAGAAAGAACGTCCCCAGGAATGGCCAGTGGCCTTTCACCCATGACAAGGCCACACAGACAGAGCAGTCTTCCTCCTGGGCTGGGTGGAAACTGAGGCGCGAAGGGAAGCCTGCTCCGGGACTGCTCAGCGTGCAAGGCACCGCAAGGACAGAAGGATGGTGAGTATCAGAAAATTGTGGTTTCATACTTGGTATTAATTCCTCTCTTGGCTTCTTGTCCCGGCTCCACAATCCACGGCAGATTGGCCAGAGTCTTTTGCTCAGATGGGTCGATCTGCTTTAAAACAGAAAGGCTGATGCCTGTTATACGGTACCTGTACCAGGGTTCAAACATGCTTCCTAACACTTCTTGGAAACCAACACTAGGCCTGCAGTCCTGTCACAAACCAACAGGTATGTGAGAATCGTGTTTGTTCTTTTCATACATGTTTATTGCATAAGGACTGTATGCAAGGCATTCAAAGGGTGGGGGGTGAATGAGACCTGGCCCTTGCTCTTGAAGGCACACAGATGGGGAGCAAACACAGAAGTACTTCAATACTGAAAAAGGGGATGGAGGGAGGGAGGGTGCTCTGTGGTTAGGGAGCCAGGGGACTTCCTAGAGAAGGTGAAACCAGGTTATGTCACTCTCCAGCTCTCAAGCCTACTGTAGTTTCCAAATTCCTCAAGGTGAGGTCTAGCCTGACCTTTGCTTCTCTGACTTCTCTGACACGGACTTTGCTACTCCCTGCATGCCAAGATCATACCCAGGGCCTCTGCTCACATCATCTGCTCTGTGGGAATGCCTTTTCCCAGACACCTGAATGCCTTACACCCTAATGTCGTTCAGATCACAACTCAAACATCACCTCCTCACCCAATACAAAAATAGCATCCTAACTTTTCTGCTCTCCTCTTCTGCTCTACCCTTTATAATCTTTATGCCACATATATATTTATTCCTTCATTCTCCACACAGTATAGTATTTTATTCTCTTCACTGTTTCCCCCAAACTTAGAAAAGCTCGTGACAACCCAGTAAATAATAGTAGGTACACCATAAATACTTGATATTAAAAAAAAGTCTAAACAGCTGGAGGAAGAGCTAGAGTTTGTCTGGTGAGGGGGCAGGGAGAGGGGGAATAGCATATGCAAAGCTTCTGTGGTAAAGAGAAGTGGCTGGTTGAGAACTTGCAGTTAGTTTGCGGAGTGGAGATGGGAGGGTGAAAAGGTGAGCAGGGCCAGGTCAAGCTGAGCCTTGGACCAGACTTGAGTTGAGCTATAAAAATTACTGTTAAAACCATTTTTAGCCCCTTTGCATACAAAGTTAAACAGGCCATTCCTGGGTAATGCTTGAGCTGTGAGCTCTCAGGAGGGGCCTTGGAGGAAGTTTTTCACCACACTGCTGTCTCATCTTTTGGTGTTTCCACATCTGCCCTGGCCCTGGCCACCTGCTCAGGAGTGCTTGGGCAAGAAAGCCTAGAAAGATCTCATTTCTCTTGCACTCTTGCACTGTGAGCTTTGGAGCCTGCTAAAAGGCTGTGGGAATCCATGCCCTTTGGCTACCTTCCAATATGAATTGATTTTATCTCCACAAGGCTGTGGGCAGGACTTCACATATTCTTAGGACTCATGGAATATTTCTCAAAAGTAAACAATTGGACCTGAGGGAAATGGAACATGGATACCAGCTGAGAGGGATAGGATGTTGAGGCAGTTAAAGGACATCAGTATTATTCACTATATATTTTCATATTTGTCAGTGAAGGCTTTTCAATGTATATTTTACAAGCCGTCATGGCACCCAACCCAGTTGGCTTGTCTGGAAGTTTTTGGAGACCAAAGTCAGATGGAGGCACCTGCCAGGAACAGATTTTCCAGTCCATATGAAAAACAATATAATAGTCTAAGATACTCCAAAAATACTGGGACAACTCCTGGACATTTAACTTAGTTTTTTTTTTGGGGGGGGGGATAGATAATAAACAAATCCCCATCAATAAATGCTACACAGAATTCAAAGCAAGTATACACTTGAGTGTGACTAGGTATCTATCTCAGAATGAATGGTCCAGGAAAAGCCTCTTCATGTAGTTTAAATCTGAACAAGTGGGGTCAGCTCTGCAGAAATATGGGGGATACTGTGATAGGTGGAAGGAACAGGTGACACAAAGGCCTCAGGTAGGAGTGAGTTTTGGTCTCTTCTAGGAATAGAAAGGCCTGAGCATCAGAGAGAAGCATGGGGAGAAATTAGGTTTAGGTATATGGGGCAGAAGTGCCATGATCTGATGTGTGTTTTAGGATCACTCCGGTTGCATGAGTAAGAAGGAAGACTGTTAGGACATGTACTGCAATAGTTCTGGAGAGAGTAGTGGTGGTAGCCTAGATGAGAAGGGTGACTGAGGAAATGGAGAGTGGGTGGATTTGAGAGGCTGAGTAGATGGAATCTGTCCAGGTGTTGTACACAGTGGTCAGAGGAAGACAGGAATTAAGGATGACCTCTGGATTTATGGCTTAAGCAACATGGTGAATGGTTATGCCATTTATTGAACTGGGGAAGACAGTATAAATAGCTTTGAGGGGAAAATCGAGAATTCTGTCCTCCCTTCCAGGGAGGATGGCAGAGGAGGAGAATCCTAGGCTTACCTCATCCCATGGATACCCCTAGATAATACCCACATCAGTGTAAATAACCCAGAAAATGACCTATAGATTGGCAGAAAAGACTTTTCATAGCCAACTGTAGAACAGAGGCCATACTGGAGAGGGTAGAAAGGGCAGAGATGCAGTTGGGAGCCAAAAACCTGCAGGACCCTAAGGGAGGGATGTTGTGGGTGCAGAGGGGAGAGGAGCAAACCCCATCCCAGGCACAGAGGACCTGTGCTGGGAAGATGAATTTCTATAACATTTGGCTTTGAAAACCAGAGGGACTTAACATCATGAGTTCTTACAATCAGTGGGGTTTAACACACCTGGAACTTTGAAAAATCAGTGAGCCAGAGAGTGATAGGAAACTGAGTCCCTGCCCTGAAAGAGACAGCATAACAAATAACCCCACCAAGATACAGCATTGAAGCAGCAGTTTGAAAAACACCTGGGGTATACAGGAGGGAGGGAGATTTGTTTACTAATCTCAGAGCATGTGCTGGAGGGGCAGAGGTCTTTGGGAGACTTCTTCAAGAACAAAAGAAGTGGCAGGCACCATTTCCCTCTCCCACCCCCCAGCCTAGATACAGGTACACCTGTGTGAACCACTGCAGCAAGAACTCTCTCTACCTACCTTGCTAACAGCATGCCCTGGATGCTTACCCCCCAGTCTGGCCTTGGTAAATCCATCCAAAGCAACACCACAAGCATGGCAGTATACAAGCAGCCCTGACAGGGGTCAGCACCACCTCAAAGGGACTCCTGCCCTGGGGAATAGGGACTAAAACCACACAAGCAATCTGATTGTGGCCCCAGGAGTGGGCTGGGGGCAGATATTTGGTCTCACTACAGGCCTCACTCACCAACAAAAAGGGAACAACACAGGGAGTGTGCCCTGCAGTGCAGTGCTCCTGCAGCTCTGGAAAATACCTGGTCTAACCCAACTCAAGCCCAAGGCTGCCCCAGACTGGCTCACTAACAACACAGGGAACCAAACCCTGCCCACAACAGGTAAAGAGAGCCATGGAAGACAACTGGACTGAAGGCAAAAGCAGCACAGCCACAACAGTAAGGTGCACACAATGCACACGGGATACCCCATAAGTGCCAGGTTCTGATAAAGAAGGGATATTGCACTGCAGGGCACTATAGGACCTCTTCTTGTTAAGGCCACTACTTTCAAGAGCAAGAGACATAGCTAACTTTCCTAACACATAGAAACAGACACAGGGAGTTAGACAAAATGAGGAAACGGAGGAATATGTCCCAAATGAAAGAACAGGACAAAATCACAGCAAGACAGCTAAACTCTTGGGAGATAAGTAACGGAGATAATATGCCTGATAAATAAGTTAAAGGTCATAAAGGTACTTACTGGGCTTGAGAAAAGAGTACAGGACCTCAGTGAGACCCTCAACAAAGAGATAGAAAAACATAAAAAAGAACCAATCAGAGATGAAGAACCCAATAACAAATTAAAAATACACTAGAGGGAATAAATAGACTAAAGGAAGTAGAAGAGTGGATCAGTAATGTGGGGGACAGAGTAATGGAAAGCAATCAAGCTGAACAGGAGAAAGAAAAAAGATTAACAAAAAATGAGAATAGATTAAGGGAACTCAGTGACACCATTCAGTATAATAACACTGCATTATAGGGTTTCTAGAAGGAGAAGAGAGAGAAAAGGGGGCAGAAAACTTATTTGAAGAAATAATAGCTTAAAACTTACCTAATTTCAGGAAGGAAATGGAAGTCCAGATCCAGGAGGCACAGAGAGCCCCCAACAAAAGAACCCAAGGAGGTCCACACCAAAACACATTGTAATTAAAATGGCAAAAAGTAGTGATAAAGAGAGCTTTTAAAGTGGCAGGAGATAACAGTTACATACAAGGCATAAGGCTGTCAGCTGATTTTTCAGCAGAAACTTCACATACCAGAGGAAAGTGACATGATATATTCCAAGTGCTGAAAGGAAAAAACCTCCAACCAGCAAGGCTATTATTTAGAATAGGAGAGATTTTTCCTCCTAAGAATTTCCCAGATAAAAAAGTAATTCATGACCACTAAACAAGCTCTATAAGAAATGTTGAAGGGAACTCTTTGAGTGGAAAGGAAAGACCATTAGCAGGAGTAAGAAAAACAGGATGCACAAAAGCAGTACAATTAAGTATATCTATAAAAATCAGTCAAGGGATTCACAAAATAAAAGGATGCAAAATCTGACACCATACACCTAAAACATGGGGGAGAGGAGGCAAAATAGACTTCAAAAAAGACTGTACTGAGAGACAAAGGACACTACCTAAAGGGAACAATCCAATAAGAAGATAGAACAGTTGTAAATATTTATGCAGCCAACATGGGAGCCCCCAAATACATACATAAAGCAGCTGGCAGCAAATATAAAGGAAGTAATCAATAGTAATACAATAGTAGTAGGGGACTCTAATACCCACTTACATCAATGGATCATCCAAACAGAAAATCAATAAATAAACAAACAGTTGCTTTGAATGACACACTGGACCAGATGCATTTAACAGATATAATCAGAATATCCATCCTAAAACAGACTACACATTCTTTTCAAGTGCACAGGACCATTCTCCAAAATAGCTGTTAGGCCACAAAATAAGCCTCAACAAATTAAAA